TCATTAATTTATAACTAGTAGAGATTAATATTCTAATAAATTAATGTATTTTAGTTAATTAATATTACTTATTAAGATCAGTTTAAATTTTTAATTAATATATGCTATTATGCTATTTAATTAATATTAATACTAATAACTTGAAAACATACAAGCCTTGTTTTCTCCCCCAAATTCCCATATACGCACAAAGAAGCAAGAAAGTTGAGGAGAAAAATCAAGTGATTATAATTTTCAATTTATTATACTTATTCAAAATCAATTTAGAAATAATCATAAATCATTTAAAAATACCAAAAATTCATTTCCGATAAAACCCTAAATAAAATTATCTTCAGTCAGTCAAGAAAGTCGTAGTCCTATACTCAATACCATTGATTCCACGTGTCAGCATCGAGTTCCTTTGCTCAGTTGATACTATTGATGCTGAGTGTCGCCGCTTGATTGAGAGGACAAAGTCGCAGTTGCGTATCGATGACATCACAATTTCATAAGGAGGATGAAGGGTTAAAACGTGGTTGAGAAGGGGCCCGATCTAAAGGTTTCAAAGCCTTTTATAATATAGACCGATATATTGAAAAAAAAAAAAACTAAATTAAGCTCAGCAGAGTTGCTATGTTTTATGGTCGTCATCTACCTCATGTGCGCACTCGAGCAAGTGGCCGCTTCACGCATAGTTAACGTACGAAAGAGTTGTGATGCTTTTGAAAACCTTGGTATTTATATTTACCAAAAGAAGTGTATTCCTAATCTACTTCAAGAAACATGAATATTTGGACATAAGACCACATATACACCAATGGACACAATAAAAAAAATGATCATTACTAACAATACGTCAATTAATAAAGGCAGGGCATCTAAACCTTGTGGGCAAACTCATCTATGTCTCTCAACCATTATAATATTGGTTTTTGTGTTAGTGTTGTTAGCCACTACGTGAACAACCTTTATTAAAGATAGCATGAAAGTTGTTAACCACATTCTAAGATAACTCAAGATAATATCACAAAAAAGGCTTATTATGTAAAAAGTTATCTAGCATGGTCATCAGAATTTTCAGAGATGATGAAGAGTTGGAATCCAGCTTTGGCTATTATACATATGCAAAAGGAAACCTAGTATATGGAGAAATAAGATCTATGGTCTAAAGAAGCAGTGTTGAAGTTAAATAAAGAGCAAAGAAACTTGATATTTGTGAATGAATATGGGCATAAAAACTATTGGTTGAACTAAATTATCAATTGGAAAAAACTTTGAAATCATTTTGTTACAACCAAACTGCCATTATTATTGTAAATACACATATCCCTTATGACAGGACTACAAACATTGAGATTAAGCAACATTTCATCTTGGAGAAATTTGAAAATGAACTAGCCCAACTAAATCATATTTTAACAAACTCTCAAACTATAGATATCCTCACCATGTTCTTAATGAGAATATGTTTTGAAAATTTTATCAATAAGTAGGACATGATCAACATATACAACCCACTTTGAGGGGGATAGATAAAATAATTCAAAATTTGGAGTATTAATCTAATATTCATGTTGATGATAAACATTTATAAAAAAGAAAGATGATTGAAATAAATGAAAAATAAGCAAATTTGAACGTATTAGACTCTACAGGATGAGACAGGGGAAAGACCGATTTATTATGACAATGACTTAAATAATGACCACATTAGTGATGATTAGGGGTGTACATGAGCCGAGCAGGCTTGCAAGTCGAGCTTATCGAGCCACGAGTTCGAGCCTATACTCGAGCTCATCAATAAACGAGCTCGAGTTCGAGCTTGATGAGGCTTTGCTCACAAGCCAGCTTGTAATAATACAACTTATTTATTTTTTAACTAACTTTTTCTCTAAAAAAAGTACAAAAAACCAAAGAGAAAATAAATAATGATTGTTAAAAAATGTAGAGCTTTTCCCAAGAAAACAATGTACGACTGGATTTGAAAAAATAAAAATAGGTTGCCAAACATTAAAAAACTGCAGTGAAGTACAACAATTTTTTGGAAAAATAAACTACACCATTAAGGAAAAAAAAAAACAATTACTATTCCCTAAAAAAATATATATAAAAACCAAAACCATTTCTCCTCTTCTCACACAACAGCCTCGCACACGTCCTTCTTCTCCAACACCAATCAACGATCATCGATCTTCCTCTCTAACGGGATCTCATGAGCTACTCGCGAGCTCGTTTTTACCACCATGAGCCGAGCTCGAGCTAGTTATGAGCTCAACTCGAGTTTGAGCTCATACTTTAGCCGGCGAGTCAAGCTCGAGTTAGGTATGACTCAAGCTCAACTCGATTTGTTTATACCCCGAGTGATGACAATGCAGATGATTTCGGAGTTGTCAATTATTTCAACTTTTTTTAGGAATTAAATGTGGATGAGTAAGGAACTGAAAAAGAAGTAATTTGGAGTTGAACTTGATGTTATATGATACTTTTATGCAATTCCTATATTTTGTATTGTTTTCCTCTTATAATATTTGGATTTTAATTTTATTCCATACAATTTATCACTTGCCACTTTACGACTTGTGCAATTTTTGTTTTATATATATGTCAATTTGTTATTTCATAGTTCAATATAAAGTTAATATGTCATCCTTTAACATATTATTTGGGTATTAGATAAAAAAATACTTCTAACTTTTATTTTTACTTTACACAATTTAGTATTTTGAGGCTTACGCCTCACCTCACAAATGAAAAACGCATAAGTTTACACAATTTTAAACGTTGATAGCAATCCAGAAATTTGTAGACAACTACTTTCATCCACTGCAATCTACAATCCGTGGACAGCAAAATTCCATGTACAACAATCTAACAATTCGTGGAGACGTGGACAATAGCCTTTTATTTTTATTGTGTATTTGTTTATGATATCCATAATTAAATATTGATTTTTAGATATATGTCTTTCCTGAATACTTCTTCATCTATTTATGTATAGCTTTTCATCATCTTTTTTACACGGAATATACGAATAATATTCAAGAATAAAATCTCCCATTTTACTCTCCTAACTCGCATTCTAATTTTCAAGAAATTTTAGTACCAATACTATGCTCCAATCCAGAATGCCTCTTTAATGCCTCCTAAAATGCAAAACTGCATTGCTAAACTTCTAAAAACAGCACAATATTTGCATTGTTGCTGAAGCTGCAATCCTTTGCTAGTTATCTCTAACTTAGCTCTAGTTTAAGCCATGAAATGATCCGTTATTATTCAACCATTTAAGAAGCCTTATACAAGCCTGAAAAAATTTCATAACTCTTTTCCTTAGACATTTGTGTCTTACTTAACATACTATTAAGTCTTTTATATCATATGCATTCATTAAAACATTATCTGAATTTAAGAAATTTTAATGTACTGCTACCATAGAAATTCTCTATCTATTTTGTGGGAATATCAAATCACACAGTTCTCTTGATTCTTCCTTTTTTTCCCCTTTAAGTGATGCTCACAGCTAAATCTACAGTGAGGACTCTCAGTTAATTCACTTTTTTTCTAGCATATAACTTTTACGTGACATAGTTCACCTAACCCGCCTTTTGTCATCATCTTACCTTAGTAATTGTACATACATGATTGGATTTGTAAAATAGATAATTTTAATTATTTGATTTAATAAACTTTTACATTAAACAATGCTGGGGAAATATTAGAAGCCATAGAAGGGGGTAAGCTTTACTCAGTTGAAACACAATTGCTCTAGGCTTTGACCTTAAAAGAAAAATAAAGTTTACTTATGTTTTCAAGAACATTTATGGGAAAAAAATATTAGCATACGTGTGTTGCTTGGTGTCTCCGAAATCCAGCAATATCATTGCCATTCTATGGCGATTTTCAAAGTACAACCAGCATATTTTTTTATAATCTGAAAGTTCAGAAAGTTATCGGGGCATATGATCCCTTCAGGCGCTTGAAATGAACTGTAGAAAATACCCAGCTTTACACATAGTTCACATCTACAACAATCTTCCAATTATCAATAAAAAGGAAAAAAAAGATAACTATACAAATCTATCTCCTTAGTCACCTCTTCCTCCAAAAAGAATTAAAACAATGAATATCTGGGAAAAGAAAAACATGAATTCAAATTAAATAAAAAAATTCGCAAGATAGGCTATGTTGAACTGAGAAATAACTAACCAGTAAAATTTCTAAAAATGGCAATAAATGGCTGATTATATGAAAATACGTTAACAAAAACCAAGAGCAACCAAAACAACGTAAAAGACTGATTAGCTTAAGCTGAAAAAAAAAACTGATTAGCTTAAGCTGTCAGACAATGTCTATTAACGACGATAACTATACCCAAAGTTAATCTCTAAGGAGTGGGGAGATGCATGAATTCATCTTAACATAAGATGCACAAATGTTCTAAAATAATAATAGTAATGAAATTTGGCAAATTTTAAATATGACATTGTCTGCCAGATAATTTCCAACTGCACCACACCTTAATTTTTAGATATTGACTAGTTGTTATTGAATTGCACATAATGCCAAACTAATCCAAATCAAGGTTAGATTTGGTGCATAGAGTTCAACAATGATCAAAATGATTTCATTAAAACTATCACGGCAATAATATGCAAGGAATGAACATACAATGTACATAATGATTTTGATTGTTTAATTTCCAATGAAGAGGTTGCAATGAGTGGCAATCAAATGTCCTATTCTTAACCAACAGCGCACCGATACGTTCTAATACACCTAAGGAGATAACTGAAGCCAAAAATCTGACCAAATGTCTAAAAAATGTCAGATAAAAAATGGGAAAGGAAAGATTTGGAGCAACCTATAGCAACCCTAAAGGGGAGATATACAACATTCTTGCTATTGAAACAGAAATCACTTTTTTAAAAAAAAAAAATTCAAGAAGTAGCATTCCCCAATATAAGCACAAATTTAAAAAGTACACAAGTAAAATAAGTTAATCCTTATGATTGTGCACTTACTTTTTCTTTAACGACTTCTTCTCTGTTCATAAGATGACTCTGCTTTTGAGAAACACTTGAGCTTGCTTCCATGTCATTCACCAGTTGCTGCTTCCATTCAAACTGCGATGTAATTATAAGAACCACCAGAAGAAAAACAAGTACGATAGGCCTTGACATCACTGCCAGCAGCAACAAAACAGCCTGCCTGACATAATTATGTAATTACACACAGAGCAAGAAAAATGAAAAGATATATTTAGCCTCTTGCCAAGCCAAGAAAAAATTCAATAGTACAGAAAGTTTCGACAGTTAGCCCTTTTGTGGAAAATAGATTTTTAATAAGGATAATAATTTAATCTATTTTATAAATAATGACAATTTAGATAGATAAACATTAGCATTGACAACTGGATTCCATGAAAATCAGGTATTCAGCCTAGGTTAGTGGCAACCAAGATATTATTACAAGAGTTGCAAGTTTGCAACCTAGCAATGATTCTAGCAACTGAGAAATTATGACTTGATTTATAATAACATAGCCATTACAGCAAGTATTTTCACAACACAGTATATTATTTGAATTTAATTAAAAAAAAAACAAATTGGAAAGCAGTAAGTAAGCTTGCTGCCTTTAGAGGTGGTGATTATAAGCAGGAAGAAGGATTGAAGATAGAGCAAATTAACAACTACTTTCCAAAACTGTTATTTATTATAAAATAAGTCAAAGTTTAAGGAATACTTCATGAAAATTAAAGGCTAGTCTTTAGATGAAGAAGAAAGAAGAGAGGTAGAAGAGAGGGGCCTCTCATAGAGGATGAGAAAAAGTTTTAATCATCATGGAGAATAGAAAATGAGAGAAATGAAAGGAGAGAAGTTAACCTGGTGACTACCCTAGGACAGGGTCAATAGTCATAAGGAGGGCAACTTGTTTTGCTTCAATTCTATACTAATCACTCAATTTTTCATACAATCCTAAGGTACCTGTTTACATAGAATAGGGTCCCCTCAAGACATAAAGAATACTAATAAGCAAGAAATAATGCATCCTTACTATACATTTAAGACATGAAAATAATTAGAACATGTACAAATATTAAATGAACACATGGCGATAAATTGTATGGACAAAAAACAATGGTCATAGTTGACAACACATGGCGCTGATTTACATGCATCATAAGGCATAGTTGTAACTAAGAAAATATGCAGATTGTCACGTAGGACAATTGAAGTATCATGCCCATGCACACTGCAATGCAATATAAAAATCATTACGCACAACAAACTATCATACCATCACTTTCTGCTCCTTTTTTTATTTGATGGAGACACTCCATTGAAAAATAAAATCAAGGATGATAATGTTGTGGCTCTAATAATTTAATACACTGCAAAATCCATAGAGGAGCATAATCATGAAAAGAAAAAATTGGGATTGAAGATCATTTTCACACTTATGTTGTTTGTAGCATCATCACTCACACGATGAATCCATGATCAATACTGCATCACAGTTGATAAAAAAAAAAAACTAAATCACGTTTGATGACCAAAAATACATTGGTGTCTTTGAGTGGATTCAAGTAAGAGGAAGAAAAAAATAAACACTCACCTTTGTTCATTACAATAATATCACTGAGAGAGAGAGAAACGAGTTAATACTCAAGTAGTTCCCTATTACCACTCCTTGGCTCTTTGTGCACTCTTATACCACAACGCTACACGCACACACAATTAAGCATTGCTTCCTTTTATAATTTCCTTCCTTTTTAAATCATAGGAATTGGTCAAAGTTACTCACACAAGAATAATTCGTAACCATATCATAAACATCGAATGAGTCATGTACTTGGGCAGGTTGTCAAATCATAGACCACCCCAAGTAAAGGTGGCCATGGCATGAAGCCTTTATTGGACTAATACAAAATTAAAAAAAGAAACCTATAGGGAACTCTTTACAAATTTTCCTTCAAAAAAAGCTCAAGACTAAAACCTATAGAGAACTCTTTACAAATTTTCCTTAAAAAAAAAACTCAAGGCTACTTCAAAAATAGAAGGAAGCAACAGATTATTATGTTAAAGCTCATGAATAGCTTTCTTAATAACCTACGAGCTAATTGGCTTAATGTTATACAAATGTCGAGATTATTCAGACAATATTATTTCTCAAATGTTGTTGTTTGCTTTAGTTTAATAATATTTAAAATTGTTGAAATTCAAAAACAGCTCAATTGAACAGTATTTAGAGAAGGAAATAACTTCTATTTTTACATTAAAAATCTTGCATAAAATAAAATTTAAGAAAAAAGTGATAGCATAGATACAACTATGAAGGAGATGAGAAAAGGAGATAATTTATTTCATGAAAAACAAGCAAACACCAGGTGTTCTCTTTTTAGGGCCTATTTAATTACTTGAAGTTAGAAATTATGTTTTAAAGCACGATACTAGATTGTGCAATTCTGCTGGATGTATTTAGAAATTAAAATTCGTTTAAAAATTTACAAGCACAATGAAAACCTCTCTAATGATGATTTCATTTTTACATCCACAATGAGTGAAAAATCACCTCCTAAAACTCATATTACATCTCCAATCAAACAAATAAGCCCAACGCATAGCATAACATTACAATGTCTGTTAACCAAACAACTCCCTGGCGTAATTCACATGAAATTAACCAATGAATCTTCAGTCCAATTCTCTACTCCACCGACGGAAAATACGGGCAACAAACCACAATTTAACAGAGCATAAGACAGATTTACACGCCCCTATTCACATCAATCAAAGCAAAAGAAAAACCCTAAAACATAATTTCCTTCAACAAAAGCTTCTCAGCCTTCCCAGAATGTAAAGTGGAACTACTTAAAAACTCTAGATTTCCTGTAGCTATGAGAACTAGGGTGGATCCGGGCTGAATTGATCCCAGTAGATGAGATTATAAGCAAAGACGGAAAACTTACGGGGCATCCTATCAAAAAAGCATTCTGTAGTCGGTGATGAAAGAGACGAGGAGATTGCGCTTTTTCTCCGTCGGTTGAAACACACGTGATCTTCTTCCCTCCAGTCAAAAAAACCAATCCCTTCTGCTATCACTCTTCGTCGCTACCACGGCTTCCAGACTGATGGGCGATTTCAAACTAACAAGAGATGCGGGGTCGATTCGGCCTTTATCAGAAATTCCTTCTAGCCTCCAGACAGAATCGTGAGAGGTCCGCACAGTGCGGACGAAGTCGAGGGTCGTGGTTCGTACAATGGGGTCTTTAATGGGTCTCGAGCCTCCGTCAATTGACCGAATGACCGGTCATCCAAACTCAGGAATAGGGATTTGGATTTTCTCCCATTATCAATGATTATTTGTTCATTATAGGTGTACTGTGTGGTTATTGATTATGATCACTTAACATAACATAAATTGAACAATAAGATTAGTTCAGTACAGTTTTATAAAATAAAAAATTCTGATTTTAATAATTTGTTTTGGGTAATCCGATTTACATTAAATGAGAAACTTATATATATATCATAACACTCCAAATTATTATATTTACTTATCTAATATCCAAAGTATACTATTTGCATATCTACCATTCAAATACACTCGGTTTCATCTAAATTATCACTTCGTCAAAACTACCCACGCTAACTCTGCCTTTGACATGTAGAAAACTACTTCAACTCATAAATAGCTTATGTTTAGTCGAGAATATCACTAGGATTCATTCTCAATTCGTCTATCGTCAGTAAGAACGTAACACTTGTCCTCTAACCGGTGGTTTCACCGCTAAATGACACCACATGTAAATGATTATGACCGAGACCTTCTAATTGGGTGGTTTTGCAGTCAAATGACACCATTGAATTACAGTTATCGTTATAGCTCATATGTTCCCCAATGACATTAAATTATTGAGCAATAAATCAATAAGATATGATTGATATGTCATAAAGCCCTCTCTTAACCAAGATAAATTCAAATTTGTCCCCTTAAATAAATATTCATCTGAGATATACAAGATATTATTGGACGAAGTAATCCATGGATGCCAACAAAAATCCTTCTATCAGGTTAGGTCGACTACCTCCTCTTACTAAGTAGACTAGGGACCATCATGACCTGGAATGACGGAACCATGAGATTTTGATCGGGTCTATCATCACTCCCCCCACCATCCGTTTTAAGTGCAAGGTGATGAATTTTTAATTTTAATATCAAAATTCTAAATACCTAAATCATGCTACTACTATATGTCAAATACTCTGTATCTAATTGACGGCTAGCCTTAATTGAAAGTTCTCTTTCGCTATCGGGAGGAATAATTAACTATAAGTGATTGTGCCTATAGGAAATATTAAATCAGATCATAAAAGCCTTGCAAAACGAGGGCGAAATCTCAAGGTAATGTCTTATCTAAAACCCAATGTCTTTTGAAAATTTGCCTTGGAACTTACTCGTTAAAACTATCTTCAATGACCCGAAAAAGAGAAAGGGCCGAGAAAAGGCCGGGGTGCGAATTTTAGAAGCCCACATCGGGGCACAAATTTTAGAGCCCACAATCAAATTGGACACGCCATTGAATAATAAAGAAAAATGATGCAAGGCACAGTCAGATTATTCCGCATCATACCCTACTCGATCCTAAGACCAATTTTAACATTACTCATTTGTGTTTTCTTTAGCATGTTAGTAATGTCACAATTTTATTTGAAATTCCCTTATATTCTTATTTCATCTTGCATTATATGGAAAATATGAGTGAATTTACAAATGATATGAAAGTCTCTAGTCTTTTTCATATTATTTATATATATTATATACTATGTCAAAAAGAAGATCAATTGAAGTTGAATAGAAAATCTCTTGCATAAAGAGCTCTTTCCTCTCCATGGCTAACCAAGCATTATTTCCCTTTGGATTGTGAATGCACATACATGAAATCAAGACATGAGCAAGGTTATTTGGAATAGGTGGGACTCAGACACCAAATGGATATTACATTGAAAAATAAAGGAGCAATGTTGTAGGACATAGATGGATTAGTCCACATCCATATGCAATGTTATTACTTCCTCTCATATGTTAATAATATGTCACAATTCCATTTATGTTTCCATTTTACTTTATACTCTTATTTCACCTAGCATTATAAAGTAAAAGTGTGTGTATATGACATATGAAAATCTCTACTCCATTCTAATAAAAACAAAAAAACATTCTATAAAAAAAATTATCAATAAAAACAAAAGAACAAATTGTTTTAAAAAGAGCTTTCTCTCCTTCCCTTGCCTTATCAAGCATTATTTCCCTTTGGAATGTGAATGCACTCATGTAGAGATATGTTGAAGAGGAAGAGGTGTCCAAAAATTCGCCAAGCAATTTTAAAATTTTCAGAAAATTAAAAGAAAGAAGAGAGAGAGAGAGAGATTGAAATGACATACCCAATACAGTATCCATTATATCCAAGCTCGATCGCCTAGAAATGTCAATGCTCCATGATCTTGTTGTATCAATAAGTAGACTCTTGGCACTTCTCCAACCTCAAGTAATGAACAGATACTGATTTGAAACAGGAGAAGAATATGCCCTTATCATGATAGAAGCTCCTGCTGTTCTGACAGACATCAAAAGTTGAACTTCGGTTGTATATTGGTGCCATTATAACTGTTCTCCCTTTATCTTGGCGACTAGTTTTCATTTGATACTCCATTTGGAGTAGTTGCTGTAGTAACATACCCTGTAATACGAACACTTTTAGAAGAAAGCGATGTTATAAGAATTTAGTCCATAAAGAAATACTAACATTAGAAGCACAAGAGTTGGCACAACAAAAACAGATTATTAGGTCCTGGATTCCAACTAGTAGAAAAACTGTTTGCTCCTAATATCCAAAACCATTAGGAGAGTCCAAGTGCATTGCATAAAAATTCAGAGAATGTTATGTAAAGACCTCAATCACTGTGGTTCAAAATCTGCAACAGGAGAAACCTGAAGAACATATGCATCCTTAAGGGAGAAGTTTGCAAGGACATCATCATAAAGCAGGATAAGTAATTCCATAAATAGCAGTTTTATCAATTAGGACTCGTTTGGTTGCTTGAAATTAGTAAACATGTCTGTTTACTAGATTCTATCATTTGCTTGAATATAATTATGAATTTCAGACGCTAAACACCATCAAAATTCATAAAAAAGTAAGGATTTTAATTTCACACTCATACTGATAAGAAAAAAAATCATTTCTGATGGCGATTTGATTGGGAGGGAATTAAGAAGTTTTCTCATTAAGAGGGAGCTGTTTAGGAAGGTTTTTAATAAAAAAGGAATTATTTAGGAAAGTTTTAATTATAATTGGGAGGGAATTATTGAGGGGCAAGAGATCTAATTTGAATTCAAATATGAAAAGAATTATTTAGGGAAAGGAGGTTGATTTGGGAGGGAATTAGAGGAGCTTATTTAAGGCTAATAATAGGGTAATTTTAGGATTATGTTTGAGTTTGCTGAAATTAGAATTTCTTAGATTGTGAGCGCTCTAGCTGCCGGCTATGTTGAACCGATACACCTATTTATGAAGGCGTGCTGTATCCGAAACACCGATACACGGATACGCCTCCGATACTCCACCGATACGTGTCGGATACGTCAAAGACGTATCCAATTAAAATACTATTTAATTTCAAAGGATACGCGTATCCGATACACGTGTCCGTTGAAAAACAAAAAGAAATCCAAAAAAAAAAGATTCGTCGTATTTACTTCCGCGGCTGCGAGCAAAGTTCTCTCATTTCCGAGATGCATTTGAGTCTCTTGATGATATGAGAATATTAGAAATTACTAATCTTTCACTTGATGAGCTTGAATTAAAAGCTATGGTATTTATTGAAGATGATATAAAAGTTCAAAGACAAACCACTGAAGAAGCTAATCATATCATTCCATCTATTGAATAGTTGAAACTTTATGAGCTAGACAATTTATGTTTATGCTTTTGTTGTTGTACTAGATATTTAATGCTTACTTATATTTTGATATTATAACCTACAAGGCTACAAATGATGTTATTGTCATTTTTTTTTTGTAATTTCAAATATTATGCTTTGATTGTTTTCTTAATTTTTATGTATGATTTATAAATTATGATGCCGTGTCCGCGCCGTACCTGTATCCTGTATTTTAAAGAATTGACGTGTCCCGTATCCGTATCGTGTCGTATCCGTGTCGCCGTATCCGTATCGGTGCAACATAGGCTGCCGGCTAGGGATTTGAGAAAACCGGATCTTCCTCTCTAATTAAAGATCCAACTGTATCTTATTGTTTTCTTTCATTTATCTTGCAATAAAAAGAGTTTTGGTATGTTCTTCCTAATTTCTTATTGTCATTCGTTGATTTCGAGGAAATTATATTCACTTCATATCAATTACTTTTCAAGAAATGTTTACCATCTATAAGCAACCTAATGGGTTCTTGATGTAATTAGCTTCCAAGTATTTTTGCGAAACAATACAGTTAGTTACATTCAACACTTGGAATCCATTTGCTAGTTTATTAACCTATGACTTTGTATTGCGATTAACAGAGATTTACCGCAGGGAAATTTCAGTTTTCTCTTATTGACATGACCATTCTTTTCAGTTGTTAACAATCTTTCCCGAGCAATTCCCCTTTCTACTTTCATTGGCTTCCTAACTAACATTCATTGCAGATTTGGCCAGACTTAACATTATATTCACAATCATTCTAGAGACCTCAGGAAATTCCTCCTGCACTCCTTCTTCATATGCTTATATGATATTTCAACCTCATTTCAAATTAAAATCCTAGAAACTGTGACAATAATAAAACTGTAGCTTGGCTCAAACAGAAACTGCTGGAAACGATTCTCACATTGCAGTTAAAATACAGCCAGTTCTACTTCACAGAAACTGCTTCAATTATGAAAATGTATCTAGAAAATCCAACAGCAAAGATGACAACTTATGAAAAAGTATCTTGAAACTACAGTAGTTAAAATAACTGCAGCAACTACGAAACTTAACTTGAATGACAATAACGACGCATTTCGTTTGAAATCATTTCCCAATCAGATCATTCACAGGAATGAAAGCAAAGAGTGACTATATACAGTGCAGTATTTTGGGCTCCATTTTGCCAAGAGCCGGTACATCAAACTCAAAAACAATTTAAATGGGTCTTCAATCTAGGAAACTACAATAAAAAATCTGCAAGGTATCAACATATATCATTCAGCCAAGCAACAAAAGAAAGATTGAGGGACCATTTGTGAACTCCATGCACATCAAGAATAGCAACTCAAATCAAACAGGTAAGGAAAAATGCATGTACCATTGTAAGAATGCCAATTCACAAAGGTTCAAGTACATGAAACAGTAATTTAACTAAACTTTTTAAATTGCCATGCTCACAAATAAAGTATCACTGAGTATAAACCCCTCAATACATTAAAAATGAATTGAAGAAAGAACTATGAAATAATACAAACTGGAAAAGAAAGTATATATCAGAGAACACTGGATGTAAATATGATGGGTATACCCATTCAAATTTAATAACAAAACAGAAAACTGAAGCAATCTATCATTGAATTTATGTTCGTAGGGATAGACAGAATAGAATAGTTATTGATTAAAAAAAATACAACAATATTACCAACTTAAAACTACGAATCCCACAAAAAGCCAAGCACCAACCAAGGCCTAAGAAGCTAGAAAACATAACATGTCAGGGAATCAATATTAAAGATACAAAAATTTTGAAAAGGGAATTTACATTCAAGCAACCGAAACCGCTATATTACAAACTTAACACCCAACCTTCATATTAATGCCCATACAGCTAAAATTAATGCATCTTACAAATTGCCTCTCTGTTAACCGCAAATAATCACGGTTGACATTATCGTAATCATGGACATGTGGAAAGCAAATACTATTAAACAAAATTTTAAAATCAATCCCTTATCCTTACCTCTCATAGCTCTTTGTGATTGCTAACAGTGATTGGTGGTAGTAAACGGTGTTGTTGCTGTGTTTTCTAGAGGCGGTAGTAGTAGTGTGATAGGCTGGCGTCAGTAGCAGTAGAGTAGGAAGGCTAGGTGGTGGTGGTGCAAGGTTAGCCTGAGGGTGTCCCGAGAGATTGTGGAGAGTAAAATGAGGGAGGTGAAGAGAATTGTTCACTTAAAAGAAATATTCTTTGCAAAGCATAAAGTTTCAACGGACTCCAACCTGAATTCTGTATCCCACTGAAACGGAATAGAATCTCAACATCGACCATGGCAGTTCTTTCATAGGATCTGCCTATTTTTCTACTTCTCTTGTTATCAAAGTTGCAATTAAGCACAGAAATTCAGTGGCCCATCAGTGAAGCTGCTAGAGAACACCATGGCCTCTGGCCAATGTTGCTAGCCAGCTTAGCCTCATTGAACATGGAAGGAGGATCCGCAACCATCCTAGAGGAATTTGATCAATCATGGAGCCTACAATTATAATCATCCCAGGGAAGACAATAAGAAATGTTCTAAAAAAAATATATGAAACATGATGTTACTTCCATCCTTGCAAAAGAGGTAGAGATCAAGAGAAAAAATGTGACAAAAAATCACACTTAACTATGGGCTGTGATCAGGATTATGAAGCTTTCTTTGTTGTAGCAGTCCACCAGTTGTCGATGATTTGGCATGAACAAGAAGGGATGTGATGTCAGGTAGTAATTGACACACTCATGTATGCTTGCCATGACCCAGAAGGCCAGAACCAACTAGGAGTTTTATCAATTAGGACTCGTTTGGTTGCTTGAAATTAGTAAACATGTCTGTTAAAATGATGAGTTTACTAAATTCTATCATCTGCTTGGATATAATTAGAAATAAATATGAATTTCAGACTCTAAACACCATCAAAATCCTTAAAAAGTAAGGATTTTAATTTCACACTCATAATGATAGGAAAAAAAATCATTTCTGATGGACCGGCTGATTTGATTGCGAGAGAATTAATAAGTTTTCTCATTAAGAGAGCTGTTTAGGAAGGTTTTTTACTCAAAGATGAATTATTTATAAATTTTTTAATTATAATTGGAAGAGAATTATTAAAGGCAAGAGATCTAATTTGAATTCAAATATGAGAGGGAATTATTTAGAGAAAGAGGTTTGATTTGGAAGGGAATTAGAGGAGCTTATTTAAGGCTAACAATATAGTGATTTTAGGATAATGTTTTGAGTTTGTTGAAATTAGAATATCTTAGGTTGTGAGGGCTCTAGCCATCAGCTAGGGATTTGGGAGAGCGGGATCTTCCTCTCCAATTGAAGATCCAACTGTATCTTGTTATTTTCTTTCATATATCTTGCAATAAAGAGTTTTGGTGTGTTCTTCCTAATTTCTAATCGTCGTTCATTGATTTCGAGGAAATTATATCCTCTTCCTATCAATTAGCTTTTAAGAAATAACAATCTAATGGGTTCTTAATGTAATTAGCTTCTGATTATTTTTGCGAAACAATACAGTGAGTTACATTCAGCACTTGGAATCCATTTGCTAGTTTATTTACCTATGATTTTGTATTGCGATAAACTGAGATTTACAGCAGGAAAATTTCAGTTTTCTCTTATTAACATGACCATTATTTCAGTTGTTAACTATCTTTCCCGATCATTGCCTCTTTCTACTTACATTGACTTCTTAACTAATATTCATTGCAGATCTGACCAGGTTCAACATTATATTCACAATCATTCTAAAGACCCCTGGAAATTCCTCCTGCGCTCTTCTTCATATGCTTATATGATATTTCAACCTAATTTCAAATTAAAATCCTAGAAACTGTGACAATAATAAAACTGTAGCTTGGTTCGAACAGAAACTGCTGGAAACGATTCTCACATTGCAGTTAAAATACAGCCAGTTCTACTTTACAGAAACTGCTTCAATCATGAAAATGTATCTAGAAAATACAACAGCAAAGATGACAACTTATGAAACAGTATGAAGCAAACAGTGACTCTGTACAGTGCAGTATATTGGGCTCCATTTTGCCAAGAGCCGGTACATCAAACTCAAAAACAATTTAAATGGGCCTTTAATCTAGGAAACTACAAAAAAAAATCTGCAAGGTATCAACATATATCATTCACCCAAGCCACAAAAGAAAGATTGATGGACCATTTGTGTACTCCATGCACATCAAGAATAGCAACTCAAATCAATCAGGTAAGGAAAAATGCATGTACCATTGTAAGAATGCCAATTCACAAAGGTTCAATTATATGAAACAATAATTTAACTAAACTTTTAAAATTTCCATGCTCACAAATAAAGTATCACTGAGTTTAAAACCCTCAATACATTAAAAATGAATTGAAGAACTATGAAATAATACAAACTGGAAAAAAGGTACATATCAGAGAACACTAGATGTAAATATGATGGGGATACCAATTCAAATTTAATAACAAAACAGAAAACTGAAGCAAGTTATCATTAGAATCTGCCTATTTTTCTGCTTCTCTTGTTATAAAAGTTGCAATTAAGCATAGAAATTCAGTGGCCCATCAGTGAAGCTGCTAGAGAACACCATGGCCTCTGGCCAATGTTGCTAGCCAGCTTAGCCTCATTGAACATGGAAGGAGGATCCGCAACCATCATAGAGGAATTTGATCAATCATGCAGCCTACAATTACAATCATCCCAGGAAAGACAAATAAGAGAGTTTCTAAGAAAAAATATGAAACTTTATGTTAATTCCATCCTTGCAAAAAAGGTAGGGATCAAGAGAAAAAATGTAACAAAAAATCACACTTAGCTATGGGCTGTGATCAAGATTATGAAGCTTTCTTTGTTGTAGCAGTCCACCAGTTGTCGATGCTGAGGCATGAACAAGAAGGGATGTGACGTCAGGTAGCTCATGGATGCTTGCCATGACCCAGAAGGCCAGAACCAACTAGGTCACCATTGGTATTATGATTGATAAAGCTGTTAGTAAAATAAAGTAGTGAGGCTGAAAATGGAACAACAAATGTCCGCGGCCAGCTACAGCTTTACAAAAGATTACATATACACAGATAGAAGGGTTGCTCTCAGTGAAACCAATCACTGAAAGCTTGAGTTTCTGTTCCATCATTAAAATATCTTATTTAGAAAAAAAAAACAATTAAATGAATAAGTTTGAAGCAAAGAGTAATGGCAAAAATAGACTTACCAAAAAAAACATTAAATATTCAGAATAAAATAACTAAAGAGCTTTATATCCCTCGTAGAGTGCATGGTCAACAAAACATGTTACAAGAAAAAGGCATATAGTAAAAGCAGGAAGATCATCATTAAGTAAAAAAGCAGACAATCAGACTAAGAGATAGATGAAGAAGATGATCAACAGTTCCATGCAAAACATGATAATAAATACATATCACTTTGCCAGCCAGGTCTCTATAGATTACCGTTAGTCAAGATCTTATTATTGAGGACTAAACAGGTAAATATGATCATTTTTAGAAGCCTAGTAAATAGGAGATGCTGCACCTCTTGAAATTAGAACCTTATAAAAGGCTTGAATAAAGTACCATTGGCATTAAACTCCCAATTCTTAACATCGCCAAAATGATTTCTGAGATTTTGTAGGTATATGTCACCATGATTCTTGATTTTGTCGGTAGTGGCATGCTTATTATTACAAGGACATATAGAAATGGGCAGCATATGTAGGAAAGAGAGCATATCAAGTATCATGCTAGGATGAAGAATTATAAGCAGGATCAATTGATAAGATAATACCAATTTTTAAGTAGTCACCAAAGATAGAATGATTTTTTCAGTACTGTATTTTTTTTTAATATAAAAGATCAACGAAGGGCCTAACGTTAAAACCAAAAATAAACAGACACAAGTCCAAGCAAGGACAAAAGTCAAAATAACAATACAAAAGACGCCAAAGATGAAACAAGCAGTGGAAAGGCATATACAGTCGGGCTAAGTCTTTAACAGGAAGCTTAAAACCATCACCCAGAAGCTAGACAAGGACCATCCATAGGAGGGGAAGAACTGATCCAGCAAAGTTTGACACCCCAAAAAGCACACCATAAGGAACACCAGTGGTTGCCAACAAGTCACAACGTCCAGGAGATGATAGAAAACCTCCACATCATTGCCCGGTCTAAAATCCATGAAAGCCAAAGAAACAAGTCGAGAGCAGTACCACTTTAAACAGCAGAAAATCTAATAAAATCAAGAGCAACACCACATAAAACATCAAACAAAAGGCAAAAAAAAAAAAAGCCGAACCTAGACAAAAATTATTTCTTTTTGCGTTTCCTTTTTCTATGCTTACCACTCTTCTTAAAAAGACCAACGTCAGCAATTTAAAATATACTTAAATAGTTAAATCTAAATTTTCCTGAGCCACCGATTCTTTTTCAATCATTTCTTCCCAATCAACAGAAGAAATTCCATCATCCAGCCAATCCTCATTCAACACCTTATTCCTAGAGGTACAAGCAAACTGAGCTACCAATGCATCACTTGAAATGACATATATAGGCACATCTACCAGAGGGGTATCAACCAAAACACCCTTATTCAACATTGAACTAAAAGGAGCAGGTGTAACCAAAGCATTAGCCATCTCACTATGTTGCACCGATACACTTATTTATGAAGGCGTGTTGTATCTGATACATCGATACACGGATACGCCTCCGATACGCCACCAATACATGTCGGATACACCAAAACCGTATCCAATTAAAATACTATTTAATTTCAAAAGGACACGTGTATCCGTTGAAAAACAAAAAGAAATCCAAAAAAAAGAAGCATCGTATTTACTTCCGGGGCTGCGAAAAAAGATCTCATTTTCGAGATGGATTTGAGTCTCTTGAAGATTTGAGAATATTAGAAATTACTAATCTTTCACTTGATGAGCCTGAATTAGAAGCTATGATATTTATTGAAGATGATATAAAAGTTCAAAGACAAACCAATGAAGAAGCTAATCATATCATTCCTTCTATTGAATAGTTGAAACCCTCAGAGGTATTGACCCCATTAGGCGCTCCCCCAAATGACACAGTACTGTATTTTTTCTGAAGAAGTTCCTTCCACCTTTAGGGTTTGTTTGCTTCTTAGGATATGACCTTCCTACAAAAGGAATTAGCAACTTGAAGTTAAATTAACTTCCTCCGAGCGACTTCTGCACATTGCCATGTCTTGTTAAGCAAAATTTTTAATCACCATTAACAGAAAGCAAAAGCTCAGTTTAGTTGTACTTTTGTTTAGGATTGGCGAGGAAAGAGGTGGATGTAGAGAATGAGAAACGAGTTGACAGTGCCTAACCATTTTTTCCCCTTCAATATGGCAAGATGTTTGTGGCACAGTCAATCCTCATAATTATATTACCAGTAGTTAGCCCGTGCCATCTGCTTTGAAATATGGACATTGCGTGTTTTCTCAACCTACAAAAAAGAAGAAAAAATATGCACTTGCTTGTAATCAGCTGGGAGGACGAGCGTACGTATTAAAATTTTATGAAACACTCCCATATTAATGATAATTGACTTTATCCTTTGATTTACAATGAAAATAATTTTAATAGAATTCTTTTATATGGGTGAGAAATATCCTTGTGCTGTGAAAATAAGCATTCACGAGAAGAATGTCATATACCTAACTTATTAGGATGGGAATATCATTTTTCTTAAGTTGTTTTCATTGAAACGATCAAACCTTCATAAGCTTAAGAACAAACTTGAAAAAGGTTTATTTTATGCAAATTCAATTTAGCATAATTAATACGTCACCAAAAATTGGCTTGATTAGGATCTTGATGCACATCTAAATTTGAAACTTCCAAAATTAAATTAGGGACCATCCAAACTCTGATTTCATCAAACATATAGTCAAATTGAATGTTTGATGAGATGAACCCAACAACACCAAAATCAGTCCAATCCGAGCCCAAATGGACCCAAATCAAAGGATCAAAGCATTTTTTAAAGCATCAAAATATTAATTGAATAACCAAATAATCTCCAAATAAGATGTGCTTATAGTCGAATTGAGAAGCTCGACGAGCCGAATACAATGAGTCCAAGATTACTTAATTCTAACATCATTAAGACACTTAAATGCTTAACGAACGCTTTATGATCGAGAAAATCAATATGAGATGTCTGATGAAACTCTCTGAACTTGGCCTAAATCTTCTTCATATTTACAGAGCATGCTACTTCCAAAAATCTATAAATAGGTCATCATTCCTCACATGAAGGGGGAAGAGAAGAAAGAAAACTAGAGAGAGTTCTCTTGCATTTTTCAGTCATCGCCGCCGACGACCACCATCAACTATTGTTGCAGAAAACTACCACGTCACCATCTCCAGAATACTGACAAAATTTAACACTACTGTTGGGCATAGTTGCCCACCTGTGGGTACACGTGCTTCCAATACTCCCTAGTGGAGAAAATCAAGTTCTATTATTGGGTATAGATTATCCTTCCATGGACACTTGATTTATGTAATCTCCATCAGGAAAATCATAAGTTTGTTTAATCCTCCTCTTCTTCAACAGTGACAAAAGGAGGATTCTTGTATCACTTACTACATAATGAATTTTTCTACTGGGCCAGACCACGTGATTTTTTCCCTTTCCAAGTTTTCCATGTATCTTATTCATTTTTCCTAAGCATGCTGAATTTTTGTATAGCGCTGAGACTTAAAACACACATTTTACCGACTTAAGTTTTCTAACACGTAACAATAATATTAAGATTTCTACATTGTGTTTGATAGAATTTAAGAAAAATAAAAATTTTATACAAAAATTTGGCAAAGTTACTTAGTTCGAGAATCATTCATGATTTCAAAGATATAATTTCGTACACAATAATTGAATTGCAGCATATGATTCCAAAATACATAAGCTTTTTCTCCCTCTTTAACGACATAAATGTTAACATTATCTAAGATAACAAAAATGCCTGAAACTCTCTTTGATAAGAAAAGATGTACACTATCAACTCACTAACAGAATATGAAGGAGGATGTCCTTACCTTACAACAGCATTAACTTATGGACAATGCATATCCAGATTGAGTCCAAAAATCATGAATTATTTAATCCTTCTTAGCATGCAAGCCAAGAAGTTTGAGAATAGTCGAATCTTCAATCTACTGATTCGCATCTTGCTGATTTAATAATCAGCTTAAAATGGAGAAACAAAAACTCTTCATCTTCTCTTCCAATTTTCCTATATACAGATGTGCCGCTTCATTACTTCACTAAGATTAAAATCTCAGAAAAGTCAGCGAAAATCTCAGTTTTCTAGTCAAAGTCACACACTATGATATCGCTTTTCAACAACAATGCTGCATAACCAACTTTTGTAAATCGAATAGAACAATATCATTCTTCATGATTGAGTGTTGCAGCTCTGTAGCAGTTGTTAAAATCAACAAAACAAGGTATGCCTTCCAGTAAAAAATGCAAAGATCTCCAAAAACCAATAGCATCGGCCGGGTCATATTCCCCGCCATTCCATGTGAGATTTTGTAGAAATAGCCAATCTCAATTACCAAATCAACACCAAAAAAAATTCTCTAGGAATAAACCCAAGTACAGCCAGGGATCTTTCTTAACCCCTTCAATCTCATAATATTCCTTACTTGGGAAACATCAGCCCACCTATTATCTGCAGCATAGATATTTGACATCGAGACAAAATTTCCTGCATTTTGTGGCTCTACCTCACTAAGCCTTAACAAGGCTATCTCGGCAAGCTCTGTATTGCAATGCATCCTGCATGCTAACAAAAGTGCACCCCACACACCAGCATGAGGCTCCATAGGCATAGATTTCACAAATTCAAATGCCTCTTTCAACAAACCGGCTCGTCCAAGAAGATCTACCATGCATGCATAGTGATCAAGCGAAGGATCGATATTGTACACATCTTTCATCAACTTAAAATACCCACTACCCTCTTCAATGAGGCCAGCTTGGCCGCATGCCGTGAGTATCACTGTGAATGCAATATCATCTGGGATGATCCCTTCTTTAAGCATTTGATCAAACAGTTTAGCTGCCTTAGCTCCAAAACCATGTATAGAATAGCCTTGCATCAACGAACAGTAAGAGACCAAATCCCTTATCTGCATTGAATCAAACAAAATGGAAGCTCTTTCCATGTTTCCACATTTTGCATTCATATCTATCATGGCAGCCAATACATGAGGTTGACTAGCATCAAGGGAGATCTGCTGAACATATAGATCTACCCACTTAGCAATACTAATTCTACCCAATTGTGCACATGCTGACATCAATCCGACTATAACAACTTGGTCAGGTTCAATCTTTCTATTATACATCTCAACGAAAAGCTTGAAAGCCTCATTGGGTTGGCAATTCTGTGCATACCCAGATATCATCACAGACCATGAAAAAACATCTTTGTTGTTCAACTGTTCAAACATAAACCTTGCGGAAACCATGTCACCGGCCTTCGCATACCCGTCAATTATTGAAGTAAAGGAAATCTCATTCCTCTTCGGCATCTCATCAAAAACCTTCCGAGCATTAATCAAATCCCCAGCCTTCACATACCCATCAATCATGACATTCCAAGTAACAATATTCCTCTCAGGCATTTGATCAAACAGAAGGCGGGCGGCCACTACATTGCCACAAATAACGTAGCCAGTAATCATGGCGGTCCAAGAGACCTCATTCCTGTACAACATTGTGTCAAACAACTTCCGAGAAGCGTCAACCTGGCGGCATTTTCCGTAGAAGTTTATAAGGGAGGTGCGGATGAAGAGGTCGTCCTCCAGGCCGAGATGGACAATAGCTGCGTGGAGGGAAGCACCAAGGAAAAGGGCGGGGTGGAAAGAGCAGGATTTGAGAAGACACGGAAAGGAGAACCCATCAGGATGTTGAGAATGGCGCATGAGATTAAAGAGGGAGAGAGTGTCGGAGAGCGAAGAGAGGTTGGAGGAGGCATTGAGGAGAGCGTTCCATAGGATGACGTTGGGCGAGGAGACGCGAAAAAATACTTCTGAAGCGTAACGTAGCGCAAAGTGGGAAGCACAGAGGACGAGAAAGCGGCAAACGAGGACCTGGTGCTGCTCTAGGCCCTTGCGGATAATGTGAGGGTGGATTTGCTCGAGGGATCGAAGAGTTCGACAGGATAGAAGGAGAGACGCGACGGAAAGAGAGGAAGAAGAGGCGGCGGCTGTAGGTGCGGTGTTAGCAAGGATTGCTGCTGAGGAATAAGATAGGCAACGGCAGCAGCAGCGAAGGAAAAGGGTCATAGAGCGGCGAAGCAAAGCAAGGACAGTAACCGAGTGGCCGCTCGCTTCGTTTCATGGCCGTCAAGGATTGATTAGGCTCGAGTAGCTGTATTAAGCTTCATCTGGGACGGCTAATTGCTTCTTAAAATATTTTTTTATATAAAAATTTTATAAGAGAAAGATATTTTAAGAAACAATAAGAAAATTATTTCAAAACGAAATCTTAGTTCGGCTCAGGTAGATGTGAGCCAAGCCTTATTAGTCAACGGGCTTGGCTCGACTCGCTAAATGTCTCGTGAGTCGAGTTCAATAAGCTAATAAGTCAAATTTGAATTAATCATGACTCAACTTGTTAATGATTTCTATTTCAAAATATGATCCTCCGAAAAAGAAATCCTAATTAGAGAATGATTCACAAATTAAAAAAAAAAAATTATCTCATGATATAACATATATAAGAACATATTTTAAAATTTTAAAAATTATATTTTAATTAATTATGTATAATACTTTATATTGTACTCATCTCAATATGAATAAAAAACTTTAAACTAAATACTAATAGTATTCTAACATAATTCTTTTTTCCACCAAGATATGTTTTTCAATCAGATTTTATACAATGCGGCAGTTGAAGGGAATCATTAAGGTTTTATTTGGGACAGCTTTTTTATTGCTTTTCAAAATATTTTTTTAGTACAAATTTACTAGTTCAAAAAAAATTTGTACTAAAAAATTGCTTTAGAAAACAAAAAAAATAAGTTCCAAGCAAAGTCTAAGTCATTTTTATTGTTGATTTTCATTCATATTAGATTAGGACAAATGTTAGAGTTGGTCAGTGATGAGCAATATTGAACAGCGAATGTCCAATCAAGTGGAGATCATGGTATCGAGCGCTGCAATACTGACGTGGCTCATTCTGGTTGGTCTTCGGAAGATATTCGGCATCCGCACAGAATAATTTCGGAATCAGATGACCTACGGATCGAGATCAACCAAAGTTTGGCATCGGCTAACAAGCGACGTCAAATGTCAACAATGGTAGATCTTAGGGTCAATTGACAATTGATGTTATGATCAGGCAATAGAGACCAACGGCAAAAGAGTAAAGGCAGATGCTAGTGTCAGTCATCACGTTCTTTCCTATAGCACTTCCTTAAATGTATAAAGAATGTGCATATTTTTACAATTTTTGTTAGAGTGTTCTAATTATTTCGATCATTGAGAAGTTTGCAAATATTGTCTTAGGTATACAATTTAGGTCCAATAGAGCTCAATTTATCAATTTCTTCCGTTGTTGGATTTGTCTCTATGAATCACAAAGTTTGAAGTTTGAACATTTGGGTGTTTTTATATCAAAAAATTACATCGCCTTGATATTCTTTTTTTTAATTTGCGTCACTTTTGCTTCTTAATAAATTATGGAAAGAATTTTATAAAACATTTCAATATAAAATAGTCTTACAAATATGCATTAAAAAATGAATGAATTAAAAAAATTGAACGCAAATGTGTGATATATAACAAAAAAAAAAATCCACTTCTAGGGTTCATGATATTCAAAGCATATTGGAATAAAACTTTCAAATTTTAATTTACTATTATGAGAACTCTAATTTGAACAAATTAATAATTGAACTAATCAACTCGATGAGATAAAATAGTTAACACCAAAAATGATCCGATCTGAGTCCAAAGTAGCTCAAGTCAAACACTCAAAGTATGATTGAGAATCTTGAGAAATTAATTTGATAACCAAATCATATCCAAATCTTACATGCTTATGGCCAAATCAAACGTCTGAGGAGATGAATACAATGAGCCTAACATAGCTTAATTTTAACATCATTAGCACTTAAATGTTGAAGGAATATTCTACAATGGGGAATACCTTGGTCGTCTGATGAATTGCTTTAGATTTGAGTTATATTTTCAAAGAATGCCAACATCAAAACATTAAATAGAGTCATACTCTTTGCACATGTAGGGATCGAGGATGGGAAAGAAGTTGGAGAGAGTTCATACGTTTCTTATAGCTCTACCCTAACACTCTTATCGGATTAGTGCTACCCAACCCTACTATTGAATTGCCATTATATTGTTGACACCTAACCACCACAATTGAACCATTATTGTCTAACCACCACCAGCAAACCACCATCGCCTGATCACCTTTGCCAAAACACCATCCTTTAAATGCTATCTTCAAGCCACCTTTGCTTGAACACAATATCTTGACTATCATCATATGACCACAATCTTCCAACATTGTCCCACGATTATGGTCTCATGATGATCGCTGCCTAACAATAATATCCTAACCACTATCACCATCATGTCACTCGACCAACATTGCCTAACAACAATCTTTCGACCATAGTTGTCTGACCATAGTCATCTAAACATGTTTACTTTACCACTGTTGCTCCACCAAGGTCTTTTAATAACAGTTGTCTGACTACAGTCTCTTAACCACTATTACACAACTATATTCTTTTACTATAAATCAAGTATAGCAGCTTAATCATCGTTGACTGTCTATGATATCCTAATCATCATTACGTGAATACACCAATCATGATCTTTCAATCATCATCCCAACAATTATCTCCCAATCATCATCGCCTAACCATAGTCTGTGGACAATCATCACCTGACCACAGTCTTTTGACTATCATCACTCAACTATAGTCTCTTGACTATTGTCACCCTATAATAATTGATCGATTATAATCACACATCTTTACTATCACTCAACTATTATTGCTCATCATTGTCAATAATGTTATCACGTTTAAGATTGAAACATTCCACCGACACCAACATTGATGTCCATTGACTTTGATGCCCATCATTATTAATAACATCGAATCACATCATCATATATAAGGTAGATGTATGTGTTCACACTAACTATAATGTCTTCCATCTCCATTGCCCACCATTTTCAAAAATGATGATATGTACTATCACATATAAGGTTAATGCATACTGTCAGCACAAAAGCCAACACCCAATGACTCCATAACCAACCATTACCAACAATGTTAATGCATACTATCACATATAAGGCTAATGTAAGCCATTAATACAAACATTAATGTCTACCATCATCAATAGTATCAACCCACAATGTTGCTTATACGGACGATGCACATCATCGAAACTAATACTAATGCATTCTAACTTTGTTGTATACCATCACTAATAACATCGATGCATGCTATCGCCTATAAGGTTGATGCACACTATTAACACTAACTCTTGACTCTCGACATCAACATCTTGGCCTCTAGTCTCATTTCCTCAAAGGAGAAGTGTCGAAAATGCAGTAAATAATTCCTAGAATATAACTCCAATTAGAGGTGCAAGTAAGCAAAGTCGGCTTGTGTGTCTACTTGAATTTTACACGTCAACAAACTAACAAGGTGAGCTTATTGAGCCATGAGTTCGAGCTTGAGCGCATACTTGAGTTCGAGCTTGAGCGCATACTTGAGCTCAACTTGGCTCAGTTCGTAAGCTTATCAAACTTCTCATTTAAATTAAAATACATTTCGAAATTATTCTCAAAATAATATAATAAAATATATAATAATATTTGTAATTTTTAAATATAAAAAATTCATATAATGTTCAAGTAAAAATGATATGATATTATTGTTTAATTTTATTGAATCCGTTTAATAAGCAAAAAATCTTCTTGTAATTATTTTCATCAATCTTTGATTTATCACCGGCAATATACTCATGATTTCATGGCCTATATAATATTGCATGTTCAAATCTAAGATTAAAGAAATTACTGGCTTTAGTTGATTCCATTCGCTGCCATTAGCCATTCAAAGTAGCCCGAGTACAAAGAGGTTCGATGGGCTAACCTACGACAGGGATCATCTAATAGAACTTCAATCAGGCCGGGATTTGACCCTCTTTATACAATGCAGGAAAATATGTCAAATGAGAACTAAGATGACACTCAGAGAAATCTATAAATAGACTACTTTCAGTTCATTTAGGAGCATTTTCTTTTGAAATTTCCTCACCAACAATGATAATCATACCAAACATGTTAGTATGTGTGGAATATGATTAATTGATTGTGTAGATCAATCGAGTTGTATTGTTGCCTCGTACCTCAAGGTAATTTCTAGTGCTCGTTGGGGGTTTGCGGAGGGTTTACCGTCTGTTTGGGTTTGGGTGCTTTACACTTGAATTTTTTTTTACGTGCATCGCCCAGGGCTGCAGAGTAGAAACATCAAAGAGCAGAGTGCCAAAAAGCTCTAGATTGGGCGTCACAGTGAAGTGGAGTGTCACAGCGCTGCGGCGCTCCGTGTTTAGGAAATAAAAAAGTTCAAAGTGGACTAGCCAGTTTACTTTCTCATATTGCTGGAGGGTGGCATTCCTTTGTGTTATTAACTTGGAACTTTTCTTGTGATTAGAGTGTGAGAACAGTGTAAGAGAAATGAGAAGCAAGGAGAGGATGAAAGAGACGAGAGACCTGTACTTATTTTCCCCCATTTTCATAATGAATTTTTTTGGTGTAGTGTCGCTCCGTGATTTTTTCCCAAATTTTGAGTTTTTCCACGTTAAATCCTAGTATCTCACTACAAAAAATGTGAGATTTTCGCAGCACTTATTAGTAACAGTTTTAAAACCGCTGCTATAAATTAATATAAGCAGCGCTTTTCACCGCTGCTAAAAAATTATCAAAAACTTAAAATTTTCACAGATCTTTTTATAGATGTGGTTTGCAAAACCGCCACAAATTTTTTACAATTTAAAAATCTATCTCCCCTCTCCCTCCCGCCCTGTGTCCTAGCTCCCCCTCGACATCCCGCGTCCGTCTGGCCCAAGGAAAGAAAGCAACAGTAATTTGGCAAGCAGGGACGATAAGCGGGGGTGCAGCGGTTTTAAATCTGCTGTGAAGAAAGTTGTGGCGGTTATAACCGCCGCGATAGGTCAAAAATTGTGCTGCGATAGGGCTAGTTTTTGGTAGTGTCTTTTCACTTTCCACTGCTTTTATTTTCTTGTTTGTGTCATCACATGGTTTACTTCCATCCCCAACAAAACCGACCTTATCTTATTCAATCAAGATGTCTTCGATTCGAGATCTTTTATATGTTTTGTTCAAAAAAATTATAATAATCTTGTGCTGCATGGAATAATCTGCTCACAGACTTTTGATGATAATAATAATTTTGATCACCTTGCTCCTCTCTAACAACACATCGCCATCATAATATTTAGTGTAGAACATATGGTTTGGAGCTCTTACGACTAGATGACAGTTCAAGATGGCAGAAAATGCCACACCAAGGTCTATAATGACCATGCCTACATAAAACAACTTTGATTTTAAACCCTCCTACGGCTTGGAGGCATCTTTTCTGTGAAAATTTCAGTAGTTGGTGAATTTTTTGCAACTTGAGAGTCCCTGCTGTGAAATTTTCTGTGAAAATTTCAGGTGTGGAGAAAAACTCTTAGCAATTTCGTAGTTTGTGAAAATATTTTCCAACACACAGATATCAAAGATGGACTATGGAGATTAGCATTCTGTTATTCGTTACATTAATCTTGACTAGAGAATCTGTTCTGAATAACTGGTTCCAGTTGAAATGTAGACGTTTTTTTTATATATAATTCACTAACATAAATTTTCTCATGTTGTTAAGGTTTTCCATACTGCTGGAAAACATCGAAGATCCTACTCCTTGTCATCTCCTGCATTCCAGAGGCATTTCAAGGTGAACCAATTGAGAGTTTCAGCACAAGATCAAACTCATTTCAGAAAGCTGAATGGTCGAGAAAGAGCAATTGCAGCCTTGTTAAATCGGCAAGCAGATTAATTTTCTTCTATTAATTGTTCACTTAGATTACTTTATCATTTCTATTCAGAATAGGCCGACTGTTCTAAAGAAATCAAAGATGTCAGAATAGATTGTTCTGTTACCGGGATAAACCAAAAGGAGAAAGTGACTGAACTAGTTTCAACTCAAAAGCATAAACTTGTAGGTGAAAGCAAGGTATTTGAACACTATTTTTTTGTTTACCATCAAATGTAAGTTCGAGCACAAAGTTTCATGTGCCTTCAACAATTTTCTCTTTTAAATGGAAGCTTATACATCAGCCATCACTCCCCTTCAAATATAAAATAGTTAATATCCCTTAATATTATGTGCAAAAAGCTTGCTCAACCACATGGGGGCATATCTCTTCATAAAATAAATTGATTCTACGGGTTCATTCCAAGATCTCGACCTTGAGGTCGCTCGTTTCATCGAACGATGCCTAGTTTGCCAAGAATATAAGGGGTTCAGTCAAAACACTGCTCTTTACACGCCTCTACGAGTTCCAGATTCTATTTTGAAGGATTTAAGTACTGATTTGTGTTGGGGCTACCTAAAACCAAAAAAAGGAGCAGATTATATCATGACTGGTTCTCAAAAATGTCACATTTCATAGCTTGTAAGTAGACATTTGGTGCTTACCAAATTGCTCAACTATTTTTTCAAGAAATCTTGAGCATTCATGGCTTTCCTCACAGCATCACTTTTGATCGAGATGTAAAATTTATTAACCTCCTTTGGTGTGAATAATGGAAGAAATTAAACACTGAAATCAAACTTAGCTCCGCCTATCACTCCCAAACCGACAGGCAAATAGAAGTGATGAACCGCACATTGACGAATGAGCTAAGTTGCTTAGGGAAAATGCACCGTAAATGTTGGGATGAAACTCTTGTCCAGGCTAAATTTGCGTACAACTCCATGAAAAATTGTTCTACCAGTCTATGTCCTTTCAGCATTATGTATACAAAGGTTCCTAATCATCCAAAACATCCTCTCTTCCTTAACCAAAATACATAAAGCCACACAAAACAACTATAAACAATCTTTAGACTCTGCAATAGGAATCCTTCTTCTGCACCAATTATTCTCTATTTTAAGGTTTCAACAATCAAAACTATGGTGGTCTATGACAAATTTTATTACTGATATTTGTCCCTCCTTACTAAGTCATAAAATTACCAAAAACATTGATAAGGCAATGCATTAAAGGAAAGCAGCATAACATAATTCAGTTATAAACAAGAACATTACAAGAAATTCTATGAGCTTCTTAGAAGTATTCCTCAGTCCTTCCCTTGAAACCAATCTGACCAAATGTGAGGCAAAGGAACAACCCAAGATGCCATGTGACTAACCACAGCCTGCAATATAATCAAGTTCAAGTTAATTAGTTTAACCTGGAGTGATCTAAATTGCTAAATATATATTACATAATCAAATTACTATTTACCAGAACTGAGAAGTGAGAGCAGGTCCACTAGGCCAGTGAGCAAGTTCATCTCCAATGCTTTGGAAGAATAGTCCTGTGAGGCTGTTTCCGTTGATCACCGGAATACTCGACGGCACAAGCCAGCCAACCAAGCCAAATCCAATGACATTCAGATCTGTGCGAAGCCAGTTCCTCTCAAAACTGATCTCACAGAAGGAAAATCAACATATTAGAGTCAACAATTTATACTAACTAATTATATTCTATATTGATACACTCACCAGGTGAACTTTCCACCTGAAGCCAGTTTCTGGCTCAAAGGATTCTTAATAGCAACTTGAGGCCTTACGAAGCCTATGAAGTTTTAGAAAAACAGAAGCATTATTCTTAGTCATGTCAGCAGGAATTGATCAGTAAGATTTTACCTGATGTGAGAGATGGCTTTGAAGAACGGGACGGGAGGGAAAGAGGAGATTTAGAAAAGCCAGCTATAGTAGTTGAGGTTGCCATGGCTGCCATCTGCTTCTTTTCCAAACTGGATTGTTTCAGAGATAGCTGGTTTTTTGAATGTTCAAAGACTTGGGAAGCTTATGGATTGTTGAGAACTGGATACAGATTGATTGGTATCTGTGATGTGGAATACTTCAGATGGATTTCAAGGATAGAGAGCAGGAAATGAGCAAATGGAGTGATGCCACATGGAGAACATGTGGATAAGTCATCTTATATTTGTCAAGTGGGGTACTTGTTATAAATTTTTTGAATTAAACGGGTTGGGTCAACCCTAATCCGACCCGTTTTTTGAAACGGGTCGATTTCTGGAACCCGAACCCGACCCGTTTTGAAATCGGGTCGGGTCCAATCCGGCGGGTCCGGGTCGGGTTTTCGTGTCGTGTCAAAAATTGACACCCCTAGTTGCTTCTTCCTGCTAACCTTGTGTTTCTTCTCTTCCTCTGTTATTCTCTTTTCCCCCTGCTTCTCCTTTCCTTTGTTTTGCAGGTTCAATCGGTTTTCACACCAGCATATAATGCTAATATTCCCGCATTGACCTATAAATGCCCATCAGAAGAAAAATCTAAATAAGCTAAAGATTTGAATACATTCAACATGTATCAAGCCAACATGAAGTAAAATCTATATAAGCTAAAGATCTCCTCTAAAGAGATATTTTAAGGATTATACTATTATATTTCATATAAGTATTTAACATCTCAGTTATAAGAAATACTATAATTTTTTATATATAAAATAAGAAAGGGGAATAATTATGAAATTTATATATGTAATTTATATTACTATTGTTGCTTGCTAGAAAATTTGCAACGGTTGAAAGACAGTTTGTAACATATTAATTTTATATGAAGAATCAGCACATATCAATAAAAGTAGTGTAGTAAGAGACATTAATATTTTATATGAAAAATATGATAAGGGAAAAATCATATGACCTGATCTAGTTGAAATGTTTCAATTACTATATCTCTTTGATTATAATTGATACTCAACTTGGCTATAAATTTATTAAAATTAGAGTTAAGATGATCCCAAATTTAATTTCAAAAATTATAATCCCAAAATGTATCGAGATTTGGGCATGATTAATTGAAAAAATATTTCATACTTCATTCAAAAGAATACTTGACCTTTAATTTGAAGAGCATAAACCCAACCAATTTAATAATAATACTTTTAATCAATTAAATAATAATCCAATTAGAGGCTAATGATAAAACACAAAATACGTAGAACGTTCGAGTAAGGTTTGAACAAAGTTCAAAACCGATCAAGTTATGAACGTCGAAGGAGGCGACATATGATTTTCCTTTTAATTGCTTCTTAATATTACCCCAATTGCTATAATTGTAAGGGGCGATAAATGCATTCTTACCTAAATGATGAAAGATACTTAAGCACTAATCTTGAACAGAAGATTAATTAGGGGATCATCGTGAAGAGAAAATTGAACAGGTTGTGCCGAAGATTTACAGCATACCCATCACTCGAGTATTGAGACCACTGGAGATTAGGGGTGTTAATATTTGACACGATCTGAAAACCCAAAAAATTTCGGGTTAGGGTCGGTTCAACATTTTAACCCGTTTCAAAAATTGGGTCGGTTCGGGTTGACTTTTTGACCCGAAATTGACATGTTTTGACCCAAAAACCCCATTTTGACTCGACAACCCGAGATTGACGATTTTTTACCCGAAAATCAAAGATTGACCCATTTTTTTACCCGAAAACTAGCAATTTTTTGTTGGCATCGGGTCATGTCGGGTTAACCCGGACCCAAAATGGGTCGAGTTCGGGTCTGAAAAACCGACCAGTTTGCAAAAACATGTTAGATTCAGGTTGACCTGAATAGTTTCGGATTCGACCCGAACCCGACCCGTGACTCGAAATTGACATCCCTACCGGAGAAGGTGGTTGCAAGAGAAAATTTGAGCATCTTTCTTGTTCAATTGTTCGAATGACAAAAACAGACTATGACTCATACTTCAATAACTATGATATTTTCATCAAAAATAAAATTTTGGTCTTATTTCTCCAAATAATTATCAGTCATATTTATCCAAACAATAGTTTTTCGAGGCATGCATATAAAGTTAATTTTTTTTATAGATGTTGATTTTTCTTTTTCTCTATATATTTCTTCTCATTGGATGATTTTTGTTAAACTAATTTCATCATTTGATTTGATATTTTATTTTAACTTTTTTCATCCTTTTATTTTTTTTCATCCTTTTAATTTTCCATATATATTCCCCAAATATTTGTCATCTCTTGATTATTTTGATTAAAATAATTCATTGATATATTTTTACTTATGTGCTCTAGCTTTTATATGTCATGCTTTTATTTGTCTCGTAATCGACTTTGTGCCCTACTTATAATCAATAAAATTATTTGAGAGAGATCTATATTCTTTGAAAAAAAAAAAAATTCTTCCAATTTATTCCATCATCTTCATTTTTTCTTCTAATTTGTTAAATCGAAGAACTGTAAGTTTCATCACTGATCGCCTCAAATTTAGGCTTCGTTTGGGACGGCTTTCTTGCTGCTTTTTAAAGCATCTTTAAGAAGCAGGAAGAAAGCAGTCACAAGCAAAACCTTAATTTTCCATTATCAATTAATCACACATATAAATTTTATTAGGAATCAATATTATACCTGTACCGGTTACACTTGTAATACTTTATATTTCTCTGTTTGCCTATATAAAGGCCTGTATACCTTTACTTTAATATTATTCACAATTCACAGTTTCTATTCTCTGCTTTCTTGCTTCTTCCAAGACTCCTGTACCATCTCTTTCATGGTATCAGAGCCCAGGCTTCTCCCTGGCTTCTTTCATGGCTGAACAAGGTTCCGCCGTGTCCTCCTCACCGAATCAACACATCCTCTCCAGCAGCTCATCCGACTACACAGCTCCGGCGCCACTCAAATTCTTGATCTCCAACCTTAAAACTCTCATTCCTCACCCACTCACTGCAGAAAATTACCACATATGGCGCATTCAGATCTTGCAGCACTTCTCGCAAACGGCAACTTTAAATTAGAAAAGATGTTAGTTGAAATTTACAATAACGCTAGATTTGGCATCACGAGATTGTAGTATCGCAACGCTATGGGTTTGAACGCTGCTTCAACATCGTCAGATGGATCGATAATAGAGGCTTGAGCACCACAGCTCTCTAAATTGGTGTCGCAGTGCTTCAAGATGGACTTTTTAGTTTGCTTTCTCGTTTTTCTTAAGGATGTCATCTCTTGGTGTATGGTAATTTTTTTCTCGTGTATAGAGAGTGAGAACTGTGTAAGAGAAAAGAGAAGCAAGGAGAGAGCGAGAGAGAAGAGAGATTTGTACTTATTTCTCCCCATTTCGATAGTGGATTTCTTGATGTGGTGTCGCTTTGTAGTTTTTTCCTTATTTCAAGTTTTTCCACGTTAAATCCTAATGTTCTTTTTCTTCTGCTACTTTTACTTTCTTGTTTGTTTTATCATCGTGCTTACTTTCATTCCCAACATATAATTATCTTATTGCAAATAATAAACATATTTTCACTATATTGATTTCTTTTATCACCACAAATTAGATATCTTAAAACATCTATAGAGAGTTTGATCAAGAATAATTAAAATAAAATAATAATATGGTGACCCAAACTTTTGATAAAAAGTGATGTTGCCTTGAAATAACTTATCCTAAGGCTTGAAGTTGTTGTAGGAGTAATGCAAGGGCCTTCGGTAACCACACAAATAAATAGATTGGAATATGAATAGGAGATGGGCTGACTAGGGTCAACTAAAAGAGAAATTATTACATCCGCTCAAAAATCGAACGGTCCGAATGTATACCGAGCAACACCGAGTCCAAAATACTGAGTTTTAGGTGACGTGGTGCGTGGTTACTGGTCTTTGAACGCATTCGGACACCGGATGTAATAATTGCTCCAGCTAAAGAACTTGAAATCACTTGGAGATTATATTTGGACTTATGTTCAATCTTTTAAATAATTTTATATAAGATTGGCATGAATGCTATCATTTTCTCTATTATTTATTTGATTGAGATGTTTTCTAAATCAATCAAATTGAATGTATTTGAAGCATTTGCGCAATATATAATATCTTAAAGCCTATATCATGCAAGACAATATCAGAGAACCCACAAGCTGTAGATTCCTAAAATATCTTACTTATGAAGCAAATGCCCCTAATAACTTTAGTTAATCTGACAAAATTTAACATCACATATTACAAAACAATTACCAACCTCCATAAGTGCTTCATGTGCTATTTATTTGATTAACAACAATATCAGATGCTCACATAAGGTGCAGGAATTAATGCTTAGATCTCCTGCATCACACACTTATAGGAAAACACTAACCTTTACTTAATATTCATTTAATAAGTTGGGCTTTATTTGAGATAAAATTATTTATTGCTTTTTAAAGTTACTTTCTAGTAAAAATAAATTTTTTTTACTATTATTTTTTTGTTGTTTTTAAAATAATTATCCTAAAAAATAATTTTATGCAACATTTTTTAAAATGTACTTTCTTTATAATAAGTTTATAAAACATAGAGAAAACCGTCCCAACCCAACCAAAGCCTAAATCAACAATATCTAAAGATAAATACCATGTCGTTTATGTTGGAGGTAGACGTAAACCATGCAACAAAATAAACAAGAAAAAAATGAAAATAAAACGGAAAGTAAAGAACACCCGGATTTAACATGATAAAATTCAAAACCGGAAAAAAAAATCATGGAGCTACACCACACCAAGAAATATATTATGAAAATTAGGAGAAATTTGTATATATCTCTCTTGCTCTATTTTTGCTTCTTTTCTCTCTTGCTCTCTTACTAAGAACAAACAAAAAGATATAATACACACCATCAAGGGATGACAACCTTAAGAAAAACAAGAAAGAAAAATTGTTTTGCCAACCTTACAATGTTGCGTTGCCAGTTTGAACTATATAGTGTCGAATACTCGAATACATAGCACCGAAGCGCTCACATACATAGCACTAAACATTGTAAAAAAAAAAAACTTTTTAGTGTCCTAAGTGGGAATTTTTATTGCGTCCTCCCACCTGACGTAGAGATACG